TATTATTATTATTATTATTATTATTATTATTATTATTATTATTATTATTATTATTATTATTGGAAAGGGACTCCAATTTTTCGCTTTTTTGCTCGTGAACTATACTAAATACCTAGGTGTTTTTAAAGGTTTAAAAGTTTTGATTTACAAAACAAAAACAAATAATTTATATGTGATAAAATAAAAAAATTATAGTTTAAAAAACTAAAACCTCCCTTTTATAATAGCCATTCGTACTGTCATCAGGTATGTAACTTGAGAATAGAAATCGCTGCATCTTTTAGGCGCATCAATATTACATAGTTACATCCCGAGCTAATAAAAGGAAGGTAAAAATGATGTTTTCTGGATAAGAAAAACCAAAAAATTTGCTTCATCTAAAAATTTTGCATACGTCGTATTATTTTGCACGTAGCTGTAGTTAAAAATATCTTGCGTTAAACACGATACGTCAAAATACATATGTAACAAAATAGTACCAATTATATTCTTCAATAACTAAAATTCTAATTATTTTCGTTTTTAGAAAAGCAGTTCGCCATAAAGAGCCAAAATTTTTTTCAACTCGCTCGCAAATTTGAATGTATGTTGTTTAACAATTATTACGCCATTTCTGAATATATGTAAAAGGAAACAGGATACTTTTATTTTCGGGAGAAAAATAAATAGAGAAATCACTCTACCGGAATAGGGACCCTGCCATTGGCAAACGCGTTTTGCTGCTCTACTGTCATCTCACGACACCTCTCGTCTCCCATTCGCTGCTGTGATTGCTGTTTCTGCGCTATGTTTGGGCTGTATTGATTGCTGTTTTTGGACGATAGCTGGTCTTTACTATGTCCCTGCTGATGCACCACAATTGTTTGAACCCGTTTAGCTAGCGTGGTTTGCTCTTTAACATATGCCTTGGCCTAGATGTTGGGCGTGAGGTAAATAGATACATATGTGTCATTTATTTTTTATTGTTGTTTTGTTCAAGGCAATTAGTGCACTCAATTTTGTAGTTTGGAAATATCAATGATTGTAGAATGGGGTGTAAAAAGCGAATGCGGTTAGCAATTATCCGCAGTTAAAAAAAAAAATAAGTTGCATTGGAAATTTTAGTTTGATTTTACAGGTATATTGCAAACATATTGTTAGTAACAATGAAGTAACCTCCATGACAGCAGTGCGATGATTGATAGTGATAGCTATCAAAGCGTCAAAGCTAGGCTTAAAGCATAAACAGACGACAGCGTTGATCCGGATCAACTCGTTAATTCGGAATTATCTCGGGAATTAACTGCAGTTGATCCGGATTAAGTCCTAGAGTTAACTCGGTTCAAGGGAATTTTCGATGACAACACTGACCAAAACTCACGAGAGCGTAGAATACAGGGAAAATGCGAAATTAGCATGGTTGCTTTATTTGCTCAGTTAGCGTAGAACATAAAGAAACTGCAAAACTAGCATAAACATCCACCTTTTCATCGGTAATGCAGTCACCATACTAATACAAACAGGAATCCAATTTAAAATGAATAAGAACTTATATCAGGGACTGCATTACCGACGACAGGGTGGATGTCTATGCTAGTTTTGCAGTTTCTTTGTGTTCTACGCTAACTGAGCAAATAGAGCAACCGATTCCTTCATCCGCGGTAGCCGAGTGGTGAGAGCTGCGTACTACAAGCCTGTAGGTTCCAGGTTGGAGCGATTGCCAAAAAATTTTGTTTTTATTATTTCTTTTATTTTTCTAAATTTTATTTGATTTATATATTTAATAGCTTTTTATTTTATTTTCGTTTGTTTCATTTTTATTTTATTATTAGTTAATTTAAATTTTTAGAGTTTAATTTTACTAAAAAAGTCAAAAACAACTAACTAAAAAAGACTTTAAAAAATATAGAAGTTATAATTGAATCAATAAAAAAAATTAAATGAATATTCTACTGGCCGCGGGATTCGACCTCGCGGCTTGTTAATCCGCATTACTGCCGTCTGTCAAGGCACAATTTTGATCAGATCAATTGCGGTGTTAATCATGATCAACGTTGCCGTCTGTATATGCTTTTAGGGTCGTTTTCTCAAGTAGCTTTTAAAATTTATCTGCCCTTTACCCCTATATTCTAACAGTCACAAAACTTAGCTCATCACTGTTGTGATTTCTAGTGCGCCGCAAAATGTGCCACAAAAATTCGATTATAAATTCTAGAAAAATACACAAAAACTTAAAAATTTGTGTTGTAGCGGCATATTTGTTGCAGAGGCAAACTTTGAGGCGCAGTACAAATCACAGCAATGATGAGGTAAGGTTTGTGACTTTGTTAGAGTACGGCTGTTAAACACATATTTTAAGAACAAAATTTAAGTTTAAAGAGCAGATTAATTTTAAATGTTACTTGAGAAAATGGCCCTTAAAGTGATAATGGTGCAAATATCGGTGCAGTACCTTCCGAATGGCCTTGATGTTTAAATGACTTTAGTGGGTTTTCATTTATTAGTGGTGGCAACATAACATAGTGGTGACTATCGATGGAGGGCGATATTTTTTCAAACTATCGATAGTCTATCATAGTCAAAATTCAGTTGGTACTTAAAGTTGGTTGTAACTTTATTGACAGATAATCCATCAAAATTATGTCAAAAAGATACAACTAATTTAAGTACCAACTTAATTTTGACTATTAATACGCCCCATTGCGTTAAATATAGTTTTTTTTTTTTTAACCATAAGGACCTACCTTAATAATGAAGGTAACTATAACTTAAAAAAACCAAACATATTTACGTATTCCGGTTTCCAAAGCCAATTGTTTTTTTTTAATGGTGATTTTGTTTCTACCAAAAAATGTCGCCTTTGGATTGCACCTTTCTCTTCTCGTGTTCGATTCTAAATTAAAGGCAAAGGGTGAGAAAATTTTCTGTTCGTTTCTCAAAATGTCACACTCTCGTAAGGCATAAAAGGCACATTCTCGCCCTGTGAAGCTTTGTCAGGGGAGATAGATGGTTGCCCTGAAAATCAGAAGGTTGTTTAAAACGTCAATATTATGAAATGTGTGAGCTAGACAAGAAGGCAAAACCATGCCTTTTTACGGGGTTGAGTGTAACATCAAACACATTTTGCACCGACGAAGGGTAACATTTTTTGGAAGAAACGAAATCACCATAAGAAACATAGCATGTCAACATTGCGAATAGTTGCTACCTTTTTTCGTTTACTATTAAGGCTGTTTTACTGTACATTCGTTCCTATTCTACTGATGACGTTAGGCTAACATAGTTGCACATTCACCATTTTTGTGTCATATATTTGGAAAATTTTCGATAGTGAAAATACTCGATAGTTTTTCAAAACCAAACCATCGATAGTATCGATAGTTTGCCATCACTATCATTTATCTCTGCTGTGCTGCACTTTTTTTTTTAATCAACACCAGGCCATCATATTGTTAGTAATAGAACATAACATGAACAGTAATTTACAATTAGTTATTTTTTTTAACCCAATGTTTCATCATATTTTCGCAAATTATTTGCATATTTCACTTGAACGTACTTACATATTTATATGCATTTGTTTAGAAATTAGTTGGGTTGGAACATTAAAACATTTTTTGTTTTGACAGTCTTTTTCATGTACACCTACTATGGCCACCAAACCTTAGTAGTTCACATTCTGAGTATTTTGAAACATTTTCTGGATTCCTACTCCCACCTGCATAATTGTTGGTCTAACCAAGGTTCGATCCTAGGGCCGAACAATATCCAAAAAAGGAAAGTTTTTTCTAATAGGTCGCCCCCGTAGGAAACGGCAAACTTCCGAGTATATGGGCAAATCTCGGAACCGTGAGATTCAACGTTAACAAAAAACGTAAATTCTTAAACTGAACCCACAAGAATAAATTATGTACATATCAAATTGCCTGAAATCCATTGAGGAAACTATAAATTCCGGTGTGATTCATTTTCCTTAAATGCTTAACCCTTAGAGAGTAACGCCCAATTTCCAAAACATTTTACGAAAAACTAATTTTCGCTTAAGATCAATTGAAAATATCATTTTTGAGTAAATGTTTAAAAATTCATCAACCACGCTGCCCAAAGATCTGAAAGATCTTTACATAAACAAACATAAACTCATAGCCGTGTTTTAGAAAAAAATTGTTTTATGTATTTAGCATTATCAACTAACTATATTAAGAACTAGCAAATACCCGGCGTGCTTCACTGCGCCTTAAAAGTATTTTTGTGCTGTTTGATATCCGTATTGTAATATTTCACTTATTTTTCCACTTTAATTGAATACAAATTTTCAAACAGGTGGCAACCCTCCTCAAAAATATTTTCAGCAGTAAACTTTCCTAAACCTCTTCAGTTTGATGCCCATATTGCAATATTCACATATCTTATCAATTAAATTCAAATAAAATTTTCAAACAGGTGGCAACCCCCAACAAAAAATTTGCCGCTGTAAGCCTTCTTAAACCTCTTTCTGTTGAAAGCCATATTGCAATATTTACTTTTTCTTATCAATTTACTTAAACTGCAATTTTCAAATAGGTGGCAACTATCCATTTTTTTTCTAACTACTGCATTCAATTGTTGCATTAGTTTTCGAGTGATGCGCGTACAAACATACATACACACAGACAAAAATTCTATAACTGTTTTGGCTTCTGTTGCTGTAATAAAGACCATTAGGGCGTGTCGAAAATTTAATTTAAGGCCTTTGGTTATATTGAAAATATATTAAATATACCATGAAGTCAAAATATTAACCGTTTATTTTAATAGCAAGAGCCCGCGCATTGATCCCCATGTGATACAAAGCACACTGGTCGAATAAGACGGATTCTAGTTGAAAATTGAGGGTTCAGCAAAAAGGTTTGGTGGATATTATTAGATAATGAATCTGTAAACGCAAACGGCAAAGTCAAATATCACCTCTGGCAGCCCTTAAATTTATGGTTTCCTCAAACTTATCTGTTTTCCAACCAAAATGTAATTGTTCTGTTGATGTAAAGAACAGCATTCATATTTCTGGGGTGTATTTAGGTCGCTGGTTCCAAATAAACTAATTGATTAATACTAATGCAACCATGTAGACTATCGATATATGGGCCAGCATTGATGATTGGATACTTATTACAAGCGGTCGTTTATTTGCAAAAGCTCAGGTCAGTATTAATTTAATAATTTAAAGATACCTAAAATATATCGTATCCAGAGTGAATGTCTAAAAACTTGAGCACTTAAGTGAAGTAAAGCAACTTAAGTGGGCCGAAGCTAAGGAAAAGGCAACTTAAGAGGACCGAAGCCGATGATGTCAAAAGAGGACGCAATAACAGCCCTGAGACATGGGGCTTGAATTCCCTGAGACAGCTACAATTTCGTAGCTACGTTCGTTATTGGAAGGTGTAGTGGGTACTGCACCGGTAGCTCAAAGTCAAGGGGAAAACACCAGCGTAGATGAAGAGGCACGCGCGACCAACTGTACTCAGGTAACAAACGTGGCCATTTCTGAAAAGAACGGTGACGCTGCGGGCATACAAAATGGCGGTCGTGAGCTACATCAAGTGCAGGCGGCAACCGCCGAAAGCGACACCGTCGACTTAGTGCGAAATGAAGCAGACGCTTGCGTATTTGCAAGCTACGACGAGGATTAGAAGAAATGGAGATCAGAGACTCGACCGAGCTAAATTAATGCTGTATTTACATGGTATGAATCCATATGAACTGTTGATACGCTAAAATAGAGGGACTACATGTTTCAATGAGGTATTCAATGATATGGAGTGGGATGCATATGAGGCATTTCATGTCACCGCGGCCACCTCTGTGCGCGACCTCTAAAGATTTGGATGAAAGTTGAAGAGATTGAAGGTCTAGGTGATATAAATATACGTGCAGCATATTTTGCCGATATGAC